GCCCTGTAGTTTGAGCTTCTCCCCACCTAGTTATTATATATCACATTTGTATCACTGATGTTACTTGTATATTATTTGTAAATCAAGAGACCCATTTCCCAATTATGTAACTGTACATTTTCAGCCTTCCGGTTGTCATGCTCTTTCAATAAACCGTTAGTTATTATTATTTTTTTATTAGACTGGAAACCGAAACACACAGACTGAATACCGACACACAAATTGGTAACCGACACACACACACACACACACACAGACTGGTAACGGAGATAAAGTCTGGTAACTGTCACACGTTAGTAATTTTATGGAGACTTGAACACGTGACCCTTGACTGGCTGAAACAGTAAGGTGAAATTTTTCTCATGTAATGGATCATCAGTCAGCTTTACACAAGAGTTCGTCACAAGTGAAAGTAATTTTTTTGACAGAATATACTTTGATTAAACAGTTATTGCTGTATGAAGATAAAAAAGCGATTAATTTAGCATTGTCACAAATCCTTTATAAAACGTGGGTCTGTCTCTATATATCACAAATACACTAGGGAATGTGGTTGGGATTTTGAATATACACACAGAATGGTTTGTGCTGTTACGGTATATTAAACCATCGAATACGGAGGGTTAAACCATTGTCCTCAAAGGGCTGAATCAGCCTTCTTAGTGGGTTAAACCATCTTCCTCAATGGGCAGAAATCACCTTCCTCAAGGGGCTATCCCATCGCTCTCAATAGGGTCAAATAATCGCCCTCAAAAGGGTTAAATAATCACCCTCAAAAGGGTTAAAAATCCTCCCCAAAAGGGTCCAATAATCGTCCCCAAAGGGGTTAAGACATTATGCTCAAAAAGGGCTGAAACATCATCTTCAAAGAGTTAATTTAGCATTTTCATTAATCAGTCCACGAAGGGAAAAAATATACGTGTATGAAATTTCAGAAGCTCTGGCTGTACCTGGGTAATATAACACATGTTGTTACCATGTCATTTGAGGTTAGAGACCAGCGGTTAAGAGGAATTTACGAGAGCGAGAGAGAGGTTGATTTCGTAAGCACTGCACAGTATTAATCAGTAAGATGGGATAGGATCTCTACTCGTGTAGAATATTAAGTTACCTGTGGATCAAAGGAATAGGATCGAGTTTAATCCATGCTAGGGTGCCATCAGCGAGAGAGAGGATCGTGTAGATAAGATTGAATCTGTTCCCAGCGGAGAAGTAAGATGCGATCAAGAAGAAAAGGATCTGAAGGATAGGATCAAGAAAATACGATAGCATTCACGGTAGAACATAGGCCGGAGAAGGAAGTTGGGATTCGTCTCAAGCGAACGAGCATCACACACCATGGGCATCAGTGATAAGAGACGTGGAGGATCAGGGCGTGTTGACAGTTGATATCATAACTAAATTTTCTAAACGGCACAAAAAGAGGGCGTGTGATTAATTCTGATGAGGACTCTGAAATGTCACAGGAAGACCTAAACAAACTTTTAATAGAAACTGAAAAATGGCAGACGCAAATGTGGAGAATTGTGCCGGTAAAGCTGAACGACCCAGTTGTAGAGAAATCCGATTGTAAGAAAGATTGGGGGAATAATAATTAGGATCCTAATACCATGTAAGCAATGCATCTATGTTGGATACAAGGTTAACAATGTACTTGAGTTCATATCTAGGAGCGTTAGTAACAGGACTATGCAGATCAGTTTTGGTCACCGCACTATTGGATGGATATCGATTCCCTAGAAAACATTCTGAAGAGGACTACAAAATTACTCCCGGGCATTAGCAACCTTGAGAAATCTGAATTTTCATTCTCTTGAGATATGTAAAGAGAGGGGCGATACAATCGAAGTATATAAATGGAAGAAAGGGGTAAGTAAAGGTGATATAACTAGGTACTTAAACTGTCCAACCAGGAGTGACCACATAGCAATGCTTTATAATAGACAAATATAGGTTTAGGCGTGGTATAGGTAAACATTGGGTTGGAAATACAGTACTGTAGAGTTGTGGATGAGTGGCACAAGTTACCCATCATCATCATAACTCGAACTCCATAGAAGCTTCAAATATAGGTTAAATAGATATATGACCTGACCTCCAGTTAATAGTGACACCTGACCTCCACATTAGTGTTTCTTGACCCAAGTTAACATTGACCTGGACTACCCCTCTCCTCCAGTTTACAATAAACTGGTGTTCCCCAGTTAGGAAAGAGGTTCGTGCCTGTCCCTATGACTGTAACAAAGTAATTAACTGTAATTTCAGACTGGTGATTATAATCCGTTTAACTCATCAATCAGGTGGAAAAAATAGGATACCGAGAGGAGTCATTTTAATTGGAAATGATGAAGCGGGATTTTTTTTTTCTGTGTAAAAACGACACAACGATAATACAGGGCGAAGGTATTATTGGCCCTCTGAAATGTTATAGATTTATTACGGTATTTTTTGTAGAATGATTGTCAGTATATTTGTATTATTTGCTGGATATTAGACACTGTGAAATGACGATAATGTGAAGTGAAATAGTTTTGAACAAGTGTTAATGTAATTGTCATTTATCGGGGAATTCCACAGCGGCAACGAGGCGAGGTTAGTGAATGCACTGCCTTTGTGTTTTAACTGTCTCCTGTTGGTACTGTTGTGTGTGTCCTGTTGTTGCTGTTGTGTGTGTGTTTTGTTGTTACTTTTGTGTGTGCGCGCGTCCTGTTACTGTTGTGTGTCCTGTTGTTAGTGTTGTTCATCCTGTTGTTACTGTTGTGTATGTGTCCTTTTGTTACTGTTGTATGTGTCCTGTAGTGTCTTCTGTTGTTACTGTTTCTTGTTGTAAGTGTCTCCTGTTGTGCCGCTTGTTGTTACTGTTGTTGTATGTGCCCTGTTGTTCCTCTTGTTACTGTTGTGTGTGTGTCATGTTACTGATGTGTGTTTTCTGTTGTTCCTCCTATTGTTACTGCTGTGTGCGTCTCCTGTTGTTACTGTTGTGTCTCCTGTTTTTACTGTTGTGTGGTCCTATTGTTACTGTTGTGCGTCTTCTGTTATTACTGTTATGTGGTCCTATTGTTACTGTTGTGTGGGTACCCTGTTATTACTGTTATGTGGTCCTATTGTTACTGTTGCGTGTGTCTTCTGTTATTACTGTTATGTGGTCCTATGTTACTGTTGTGTGGGTCCCCTGTTGTTACTGGTGTGTGGGTCCTGATACTGTTTTTAGTTTCTTCTATTGTTACTGTTTCCTGTTGTTAGTCTCCTGCTGGTTCTGTCTCCTGTTATTACTGTTGTTATTGTCTCGTGTTGTTACATTCTCTCGTGGTGTGACTGTCCCTACACTACAGGGTCGTCACTTTTAATATTTTATTCGGGTAACGCCAGATGATTTTCGTCAGCACAGAGAGGGTCCCGTACACACATAGTGGGTAATGCACCAACTACACTGTACTGTACTGTACTGTACTGTACTGTACTGTACTGAGGAGTGCACCTCTCATACTGGTGGTCCCTGGAGGCGTGTTGTGCAAATGTGCATACATTAAGTATTCCATGTACACGTTGGTTCGACACGTGTGATACTTCCTGGATTTGCTTGTGCTGGCGTGATGGACGATTGCAGGTTTGATTGGTTTCAGTCATAATTGGCCCCAACTTAATCACGCCTAACTTAGCCATTAAGATTAGGGAACGCTAGGACTAGGCTCGATCCTAAAGGTTAGATTAGGTTTGGGTGGATCCAATAGGACTGGGTTAATTTGGCTTCAACTTGAGTCTTGGAACATGGGTAAGTTTATGGTTTTCTCAAAAATGAAAACTAATGAAAAAACACTAAATGTAAGAGTAATATTAAATTGGCGAAATATGCTCAAATATTCGCCTTGTGGTGGTGTTCGTGGCAGTTCCCGGAAGGTGGACTGAATATCCTACAGGCGGCCACCAGACACTCCTGCCTGCCCTACATGTGTAGTGGAGGAAGATCTGTTGACTATTGAAAATATCAGACACAGACGTACGGACGTAATAAATAATTATTGTTGTAGGAGCAATACTGCTGCCGTTGCTACTGAATAATTATAGTAATATAAATAATAATAACAAGATTGATGGTGGTTAAAACAAGGATGATATGTAATATATATGATAATTTTAACTGGATACATTACTTGTACGATGACAAGAACGGACACCAGTTTATGGTAGAACTTTTCGAAACACTGGACAAACATTAGGCAGACTTAAATATAATCTCAAGGAAAACAAAACTAAAACAAATTAAATCCCTGTTTCCGAAGCAGCCTTTCACTCTTGCTTCTCAGGTTAATAATAATAATAATAACGTTACAGGTAATAGTAAATGTTAACAATAGTCCGGTAATATTTATACTCATGATGGCAAATATGATAATAATGATACTGATAATTTTGATATTATTGGTAAGAACAATGTTGACGTTATTGAGAATTATGCCATCAAAAACAAAACACAGCAGGTGGAGGTGGCGTGAAGCTTTACACAGCAGGTGGAGGTGGCGTGAAGCTCTACACAGCAGGTGGAGGTGCCGTGAAGCTTTACACAGCAGGTGGGGGTGGCGTGAAGCTCTACTACACAAAGTGGAGGTGGCGTGAAGCTCTACACAACAGGTGGAGCGTGGGCAGGTGGAAGTGCGTGGCTACACAGCAGGTGGAGGTGGCGTGAAGCTCTACACAGCAGGTAGAGGTGGCGTGAGCTCTACACAGCAGGTGGGCAGAAGTGGCGTGGCTCTGCAGCAGGTGGAGGTAGAGGTGGCGTGTGGCTCTACACAGCAGGTGGAGGTAGAAGTGGCGTGGCTCACACAGCAGGTGGAGGTGAGGTGACGTGGCTCTCACAGCAGGTGGAGGTGGCGTGAAGCTCTACACAGCAGGTGGAGTTGCGCGAAGCTCTACAGCAGGTGGAGTGAGGTGGCGTGGCTCTACAGCAGGTGGAGGTAGAGGTGACGTGAAGATCTACACAGCAGGTGGAGGCGGCGTGAGCTCTACACAGCAGATGGAGGTGGCGTGGCTCTACACAGCAGGTGGAGGTAGACGTGAGCTCTACACAGCAGGTGGAGGTGGCGTGGCTCTAAACAGCAGGTGGAGGTGGCGCGAAGCTCTACACAGCAGGTGGAGGTGACGTGAAGCTCTACACAGCAGGTGGAGGTGACGTGAAGCTCTACAGCAGGTGGAGGTAAGGTGGCAGCTCTACACAGCAGGTGGAGGTAGAAGGCGTGAAGCTCTACACAGCAGGTGGAGGTAGAGGTGACGTGAAGCTCTACACAGCAGGTGGAGGTGGCGTGAAGCACATAGTGGGTGGTGGCGTGAAGCTCTGCACAGCAGGTAGAGGTAGAGGTGATGTGAAGCTCTGCACAGCAGGTGGAAGTGGCGTGAGCTCTACACAGCAGGAGCTGAACCTCTACACAGCAGGTGGAGGTGGCGTGAAGCTCTACACAGCAGGTGGAGGTGGCGTGAAGCTCTACACAGCAGGTGGAGGTGGCGTGAAACTCTACACAGCAGGTAGAGGTAGAGGTGACGTGAAGCTCTCCACAGCAGGTGGAGGTGGCGTGAAGCTCTACACAGCAGGTGGAGGTAGAGGTGGCGTGAAGCTCTACACAGCAGGTGGAGGTGGCGTGAAGCTTTACCTACACAGTCGTCACGCCCAACAGCACGATGCACTGCCGCTGTAATTATGTTTTTCACTCCTCCACTAATTACCTGGATGCCACCAAACATTGCTGTAGTTTTGTCGCATTCTTAACTCTGTAGCCCGGTAGAGGTCACTGTCTCCTGCTGCTGTGTTATTACCTGTTGACCTTCACACACTGATGCCAGAACCTTAAAGTCTGTTGACCTTCACACACTGATGCCAGAACCTTAAAGTCTGTTGACCTTCACACACTGATGCCAGAACATTAAAGTCTGTTGACCGTCACACACTGATGCCAGAACCTTAAAGTCTACTGACCCCGGACACAAAATGATGCCAGGACTCTGAGCCAAAGTATCTTTTAAGAAGACTTCCTAGGTAATTTAAAGACAGGTTTATAAACAATATTATACTCGTATAAAATACATTCGTCATTCAGAACAAAAAAGACATTACAAGTGAGAAGATAAGGAAGAAAAGAAGAAGAATTGTTAAATAAATTGGTTTTACCTGAGTTCTCTTTCTTGTCCATCTTGGAGAAACAAAATAATAAAAGTTTACCTCGCTGTCAATTTATTTATTTTTATTATTATTATTATTATTATTATTGGTGGACATTCAATTCGGGTAAAAACTGTAAGTGGAGACACAAAACAGTTAGTGAGTGTGAGTCGGATAAACCAAATAACGAATCACCTGTTTGAAACTAATGAAACATTGGGGAGAATATTGAAGCTTTTTATTTCTAAAACTATTGACACGCAATGAAGAGTACGAATATTATGAGACAATGATTTGAAACTGATGAAACAGCACCTCTAAGATAGATGAAACAGCACCTTTAAGATAGATGAAACAGCACCTTTAAGATAGATAAAACAGCACCCTTAAGATAGATGAAACAGCACCTTTAAGATAGATGAAACAACACCCTTAAGATAGATGAAACAGCACCCTTAATATAGATGAAACAGCACCCTGAAGATAGATGAAACAGCACCTTTAAGATAGATGAAACAGCACCTTTAAGATAGTTGAAACAGCACCCTTAAGATAGATGAAACAGCACCCTTAATATAAATGAAACAGCACCTTTAAGATAGATGAAACAACACCCTTAAGATAGATGAAACAGCACCTTTAAGATAGATGAAACAGCACCTTTAAAATAGATGAAACAGCACCGTTTAAGATAGATGAAACAACACCCTTAAGATAGATGAAACAGCACCTTTAAGATATATGAAACAGCACCTTTAAGATAGATGAAACAGCACCTTTAAGATAGATGAAACAGCACCTTTAAGATAGTTGAAACAGCACCCTTAAGATAGATGAAACAGCACCCTTAAGATACATGAAACCACCCTTAATATAGGTGAAACAGCACCCTTAATATAGATGAAACAGCACCTTTAAGATAGATGAAACAGCACCTTTAAGATAGATGAAACAGCACCCCTTAAGATAGATGAAACCACCCTTAATATAGGTGAAACAGCACCCTTAATATAGATGAAACAGCACTTTAAGGTAGATGAAACAGCACCCTTAATATAGATGAAACAGCACCCTTAATATAGATGAAACAGCACCCTTAATATAGATGAAACAGCATCCTTAATATAGATGAAACAGCACCTTTAAGATAGATGAAACAGCACCCTTAAGATAGATGAAACAGCACCCTTAATATAGATGAAACAGCACCCTTAAGGTAGATGAAACAGCACCATTAAGATAGATGAAACAACACCCTTAAGATAGATGAAAGAGCACCCTTAAGATAGATGAAACAGCACCCTTAAGATAGATGAAACAGCACCCTTAAGATAGATGAAACATTACCCTTAAGATAGATGAAACATCATACTTAAGATAGATGAAACAGCACCCTTAAGATAGATGAAACATTACCCTTAAGATAGATGAAACATCATCCTTAAGATAGATGAAACAGCACCCTTAATATAAATGAAACAGCACCCTTAAGGTAGATGAAACAGCACCCTTAAGATAGATGAAACAGCACCCTTAAGGTAGATGAAACAGCACCCTTAAGATAGCTGAAACAGCACCTTTAAGATAGATGAAACAGCACCCTTAAGATAGCTGAAACAGCACCTTTAAGATAGATGAAACAGTACCCTTAAGATAAACAAAACAGCAGCCTTCAGATAGATGAAGCAGTACCCTTAAGATAGCTGAAACAGCACCTTTAAGATAGATGAAACAGCACCCTTAAGATAGCTGAAACAGCACCTTTAAGATAGATGAAACAGCACCCTAAAGATAGATGAAGCAGCACCTTTAAGATAGATGAAACAGCACTTTTAAGATAGATGAAACAACACCTTTAAGATAGATGAAACAGCACCCTTAAGATAGATGAAACAGCACCCCTAATATAGGTGAAACAGCACCCTTAATATAGATGAAACAACACCCTTAAGATAGATGAAACAGCACTCTTAAGATAGATGAAACAACACCTTTAAGATAGATGAAACAACACCTATAAGATAGATGAAACAGCACCCTTAAGATAGATGAAACAGCACCCCTAATATAGGTGAAACAGCACCCTAAAGATAGATGAAGCAGCACCCTTAAGATAGATGAAACAGCACTCTTAAGATAGATGAAACAACACCTTTAAGATAGATGAAACAGCACCCTTAAGATAGATGAAACAGCACCCCTAATATAGGTGAAACTGCACCTTTAAGATAGATGAAACAACACCCTCAAGATAGATGAAACAGCACCTTTAAGATAGATGAAACAGCACATTTAAGATAGATGAAACATCACCCTTCAGATAGATGAAACAGCACCCTTAATATAGATGAAACAACACCCTTAAGATAGATGAAGCAGCACCTTTAAGATAGATGAAACAGCACCTTTAAGATAGATGAAACAGCACCTTTAAGATAGATGAAACAGCACCCTTAAGATAGATGAAACAGCACCCCTAATATAGGTGAAACAGCATCCTTAATATAGATGAAACAGCACCTTTAAGATAGATGAAACAGCACCCTTAAGATAGATGAAACAGCACCCTTAATATAGGTGAAACAGCACCCTTAATATAGATGAAAGTGCACCTTTAAGATCGATGAAACAACACCCTCAAGATAGATGAAACAGCACCTTTAAGGTATATGAAACAGCACCTTTAAGATAGATGAAACCACCTTTAAGATAGATGAAACGTCACCTTTAAGATAGATGGAACAGCACCCTTAAGATAGATGAAACAGCACCCTTAATATAGATGAAACAACACTTAAGATAGATGAAACAGCACCTTTAAGATAGATGAAACAGCACCTTTAAGATAGATGAAACAGCACCTTTAAGATAGATGAAACAGCACCCTTAAGATAGATGAAACAGCACCCTTAATATGGGTGAAATAGCACCCTTAATATAGATGAAACAAGCATCCTTATGGTAGATGAAACAGCACCCTTAAGGTAGATGAAACAGCACTTTTAGATGAAACAGCACCCTTAATATAGATGAAACAGCACCCTTAAGATAGATGAAACAGCATCCTTAATATAGATGAAACAGCACCTTTAAGATAGATGAAACAGCACCCTTAAGATAGATGAAACAGCACCCTTAATATAGATGAAACAGCACCCTTTAGATGAAACAGTACCCTTAATATAGATGAAACAGCACCCTTAATATAGATGAAACAGCATCCTTAATATAGATGAAACAGCACCCTTAATATAGATGAAACAGCACCCTTAAGATGAAACAGTACCCTTAATATAGATAGAAACAGCATCCATAATATAGATGAAACAGCACCCTTAATATAGATGAAAAACAGCATAGATGAAACAGCACCCTTAATATAGATGAAACAGCATCCTTAATATAGATAAAACAGCACCCTTAAGATAGATGAAACAGCACCCTTAAGATAGATGAAACAGCACCCTTAATATAGATGAAACAGCACCCTTTAGATGAAAACAGTACCCTTAATATAGATGAAACAGCACCCTTAATATAGATGAAACAGCATCCTTAATATAGATAAAACAGCACCCTTTAGATGAAACAGCACCTTAAGATAGATGAAACAGCACCCTTAAGATAGATGAAACATCCTTAATATAGATCCTTTAAAGATAGATGAAACAACACCCATAAGATAGAGAAACAACTTTTAATATAGATGAAACAGCACCCTTTAGATGAAAGCACTTTAAGATAGATAAAACAGCACCCTTTAAAAGATGGATGGAAACAGCACCCATAATATAGATGAAACAGCACCCAGATGAAACAGCACCCTTAAGATAGATGAAACAGCACCCTTAAGATAGATGAAACAGCACCCTTAAGATAGTTAACAGCACCTAAGATAGATGAAACAGCACCTTAAGATAGATGAAACATTACCCTTAAGATAGATGAAACAGCACCCTTTAGATGAAACAGCACCCTTAAGATAGATGAAACAGCACCCTTAAGGTAGATGAAACAGCACCCTTAAGATAGATGAAACAGCACCCTAAAGATAGATGAAGCAGCACCCTTAAGGTAGATGAAACAGCACCCTTAAGATAGATGAAACAGCACCCTAAAGATAGATGAAGCAGCACCCTTAAGGTAGATGAAATAGCACCCTTAAGATAAACGAAACAGCACCCTCAAGATAGATGAAACAGCACCCTTAAGATAGATGAAACAGCACCCTTAAGATAGATGAAACAGCACCCTAAAGATAGATGAAGCAGCACCCTTAAAGTAGATGAAATAGCACCTTTAAGATATTACAGCACACACAAAACATTATATGGGGAATGATGGGCGTAAATTTACGTATAGTGAAGCAGAAGGTCGAGGCAATAAACGATACTGTGTTGCATCTACTTAACTTCACACTGGACAATATTCGACTAAGTGAGCAGTTTTGAACTCTGACTTTCCCGTGGGTCACCGTTGAACTTTATCGACATGTACGAGGTGTTTCAGAGAGCTGCAGCGGTGATGGTTCTTGTGACTCAGTGTTCATATTTGTGGTGAATTTAGCCGTGTTTTGGATGTCAGGGAAAACCACTTTTGTCGGTGACGTGGGAATAAGTAGGTTTTGAGCACTCGAGTGACTATTAACTAGTTTGTGGTGTACCCTGTGTATTTCTGCTACCCTGTGTATGTTTCACCCCGTGTATGTTGTATATGTTTCACCCCGTATATGTCTGTTACCCAGTAAATGTTGTGTATGTCTGCCACCCTGTGTATGTCTGTCACCCTGTGTATTTCTGTCGCCATGTTTATGTCTGTCACCCGGTGTATGTCTGCCACCCTGTGCAAGGTCTTCACACCCTGTGTATGTCGGCAACCCTGTGCATGTCTTCTCACCCTGTTCATGTTTCTCACCCTGTGCATGCCTGTCACCCTGTTTATGTCTGTCACCCTGTGTATGTCTACCACCCTGTGTATATCTGTCACCCTGTGTATGTCTGCCACCCAGTGTATATCTGTCACCCTGTGTAT